CCTCGGCCTCCCAAAGTGCTGGGATTACAGGCTTGAGCCACCGCGCCCGGCCCCATTCAGTGATTTTTAGTATATTCAGAAAGTTGTACAACCATCACCACTTTCTAATTCTAAAACATTTTTATGACCCCAAAAGAAATTATGTACCTGTTAGCAGTTATTCTCCATTCCCACCTCTCTCCAACTACTGACAACCACTAATCTACTTTCTGTATGAATTTGCTTGTTTTGAACATTTTATATAAATGTAATCATATTGTATTTTTTTGAGTCTAATTTTTTTTACATAGCATATGCTTTCTTTCTTTTTTTTCAACTTTTATTTTAGATTCAGTGGGTACATGTGCAGGTTTGTTACCTGGGTATATTATATGATGCTGAGATTTGGGATATGAATGATCCCATCACCCAGGTACTGAGAATAGTATGCAATAGTTAGTTTTACAACCCTTTCCCCTCCTACCTCTCCCCTCCTCTAGTAGTCCCAAGTTTCAATTGTTGCCATCTTTGTGTTCATGAGTACCCCACGTTCAGCTCATGCTTGTTAAGTAAGAACATGCAGTATTTGATTTTCTGTTTCTGTGTTAATGCACTTAGGATAATGGCCTCCAGCTACATCCATGCTGATAGCATATATTTTCAAAATTCGTTTATATTATATTGTGAATTAGTACAATTGACTGTTGAACAATGTGGGGGTTAGGGGCACCTTCTAGATAATATGTAGGTGGATTTAAAAGATTGCTTAATGAAAATGAAAGAAAGTCCACATTTTCAAAAGTTCAAGGGTAAGTGGATACTTTTGCTTCAAGAGAGTGGCTGGAAAATGAGTGACTGCACAGTCAAAATTTTATGTATAATTTCAGACTCCCTCGAAACTTAATTACTAATAGTCTACTGTTGACTGGAAGCCTTATCAATAACATATATGATTGATTAATGCATATTTTTATGATATATATATATATTACTGTTTCTTACAATAATGCAAGCTAGAGAAAAGAAAATATTATTAATAAAATCATAAGGGAGATAGAATATGTTTACTCTTCATTAAGTGCAAGTGGATCATCATCCTCATCCTCATGATCTTCAAGTTGAGTAGGAAGAGGAGGAAGAGAAGTTGGTTTTGCTATCTCAGGAGTGGGAGAGACAGAAGAGGTGGAGGAGGTGGAAGAGGAGGCAGAAGAGGCAAGGACCCTTGGTTTAACTTTATGGAAATACATCATACTTTCTGTCTGACATTTTTGGCTTTTCATTTCTCTAAAAATGTTCTCTATGATACCAATCTTTTGCTTTAGTTTCAATGTCCATATCATAGAAGGGTTCATGTCATAAAAAAAGTCGAAGCAGCTTGAATAACTGGAACCGTTTTACCAGATTGTCTAATGTCAATTTGTTTCCTGACATTGCTTCTTATATGTCTTCTTCCTTATCATCTGGCACTGTTTGGAAGCACTCACCTCTATCAAGCCACCTTCAGTTAATTCCTCTGGTGTTGTGTATATGAACTCTTGAATTTCTCCCAATAGCCATATCTTGAAACCTTTCATCCTTCATCTTTTTTTTTCTCACCATATCCATAATCTCTTTTATGATCTCCTTGTTTAGCTCTGTTATAAATACTGTGAAGTCATATACAACATCTGGACACAGCTTTCTCCATTGGGAGTTTATTGTTTGGGGCTTGATGTGGCATCCTACTGAAGCCTTTCATGTTGTTCTCTCTGTCAGGGTTCTCTTCCACAATGTTGATAATTATTTCCATACATGTGTAATGAGCCTTTAAAGGTTCTTTTGACCCCCTAATGTAGAATCTGATGTCATGTTTGGGGGTAAAGATACCACTTCAACCCTTTTGGTGTTGAATTCATAGGGTTTCGGGTGACTAGAGGCATTGTCCAATATCAAAAGAACTCTAAAAGGCAGTCTTTTCCTTGCTTCAGGGGCAAAGCGTTGATGAAACCAATCCAGAAAAGGCATTTTGGTTGTCCAAAACTTCTTGTTACCCAATCAAAAGATGGGAGCAGGTGTTTATCTTTTCTTTTCAAGGCTTGAGGGTTAGTAGCTTTATAGATAAGGACAGTCCTGATTTTAAACCTAACTACATTTGCACAAAACATTAGAGCTAGCCCACCCTTCTTAAATCCTGGTACTTGTTTCTTCTCCTTACTAATAAATGTCCCTTGTGACATTATTTTCCAGAATAGAGCACTTTTGTCTGCATTAAAAATGTGTTCTGGGATATATTCTTTCTCCTCAATGATTTTCTTAATGGAGCCTGGAAACTCGTCCATTGCCTCTTGGTCAGAAGAAGTTGCTGCTTCTGTTATCTTGAGATTTTAAAAGCCAAATATCTTTCTAAAATTATCAAGCCATCCTTTGCTGGCATTAAATTCTCCAGCTTTAGAGCCTTCACCTTTCTTTTGCTTTAAGTTGTCATATAATAAGTTTACTTTTTCTTGAGTCATATTAGAGTCTATGCTTGTGTCTTTCTTTTTTTATTAATATTTTCTTTTTTAAATTATACTTTAAGTTCTGGGGTACATGTGCAGATCATGCAGCTTTGTTACATAGGTATACACATGCCATGATGGTTGTTTGCTGCATCCATTGCCCTGTCATCTACATTAGGTGTTTCTCCTAATGCTTTCTTTCTCCAATCCACCTACCCCGTGCTATTTTTCCCCTAGTCCCCCACCCCCCCAGGCCTTGGTGTGTGATGTTTCCCTCCCTGTGTCCATGTGTTCTCCTTGTTCAACACCCACTTATGAGTGAGAACATGCAGTGTTTAGTTTTCTGTTCTTGTAACAGTTTGCTAAGAATGATGGTTTCCAGTTTCATTCGTGTCCCTGCAAAGGACACAAACTCATCCTTTTTTATGGCTGCATAGTGTTCCACAGTGTATATGCCACATTTTCTTTATCCAGTCTATCATTGATGGTCATTTGGTTTGGTTTCAAGTCCTTGCTGTTGTGAACAGTGCCACAATAAGCATATGTGTGCGTGTGTCTTTATAACAGAATGATTTAGAATCCTTTGGGTATATACCCAGTAATGGGATTGCTGGGTCAAATGGTATTTCTATTTCTAGATCCTTGAGGAATCGCCACACTGCCTTTCACAATGGTTGAATTAATTTACACTCCCACCAACAGTGTAAAAGTGTTCTTATTTCTCTACATCCTCTCCAGCATCTGTTGTCTCCTGATTTTTTAATAAGCATCATTCTAACTGGCACGAGTGTGAGGTGGTATCTCAATGTGGTTTTGATTTGCATTTCTGTAATGACCGGTGATGATGAGCTTTTTTTCATATGTTTGTTGGCTGCATAAATGTCTTCTTTTGAAAAGTGTCTGTTCATGTCCTTTGTCCACTTTTTGATGGGGTTATTTTTTTCTTGTAAATTTAAGTTCCTTGTAGATTCTGGATATTAGCCCTTTGTCAGATGGGTAGATTGCAAAACCTTTTTCCCATTCTGTTGGTTGTTGGTTCACTCTAATCATAGTTTCTTTTGCTGTGCAGAAGCTCTTTAGTTTAATTAGATCCCACTTGTCTATTTTGGCTTTTGTTGCCATTGCTTTTGGTGTTTTAGTCATGAAGTTCTTGTCTATGCCTATGCCCTGAAAGGTACTGCCTAGGCTTTCTTCTAGAGTTTTTATGGTGTCATGCCTCATGTTTAAATCTTTAATCCATCTAGAGTTAATTTTTGTATAAGGTGTAAGGAAGGGATTTTTCTCAGCTTTCTGCATATGACTAGCCAGTTTTCCCAACTTTTCTTTTTTTAAGAAATTCAGTGATGTAAATTGAATTTTGTGCCTTAAATATTTCACATTTTAAAAAGTTGTATAGGTTTAGTATCATAAGAGCTTAATGGATAAATAGCCTTATTATATGATGTGTGTGACTATGGCAATTACTGGCCCTGGAAAATTAGATATGTTTTCTTATTCTCAGTTTTCTTTTCCTCAAAATAGGGATAATAATGTCTATATCATATGACAGTTGTAAGAATTAAATAAGAGCATTTCCCTCTAGTACCTACTGATTAAAAATTTACAAAGTCAGAGATATAAATTGTAAATATATCACAGTTTTTATTCAATCAGTAGATTTCCTTTTCTAAAATTCAGTGCTGTAAATTGAATTTTATGTCTTCTATATATTACATTTTAAAAAATTGAGTAGGTTCAGAATTAGGAGAACACGGTTGGAAAATAACTGTTTTATGGCATAGGTTACCATGGTAATTACTGTCTGGGTGGTACTGGAAAAATTATTCAAGTTTTCTTATTATCCTTTTCTTTTTTAGAATATCAATGGAATCTGAAACACATTTTGTTTTTATATCCAGGCATTGGAATCCTTTACATTAACATGGCATAGTTGGGTCCATTTTGTGTGCTAGTTTCTTTAGAATCAGATCTTCATAGTGTTAATTTTTTTTTTTTTAAAGAAGAGAACCTTAATGCTGAAAAGGATATAAGGCTAATAATGCTTTTATAGAAGTTGTAAGAATTGAGACCATGCCTCTGTATTAGGTAGATTAAAAAGTTGCAGACTCACGTGTGTGAAAACGTAATTATGTCACAGTTTTTGGTTAAATCAGTGTTTAGGGTTTAATTAATAGTATTATGACTATCCAAATTAGCTCATTGATGAGTCAGTAGTCATCCCATTACCTCCATGCCTCTTTCCATGTGCCATCTGTCCCCTCCCCTTTCTCCTGGAGTTAACAATTATCTTTTTTAAAAACGCTTATATTTTCCTATAAACCTATTACTTTTTCCAATATGTTTCAGACAAAATATTTTGTACTGTACTTGTAACTTTTCTGAGAGTTTGACATTGTTTAGAAATAAAAAAATGTTTAAAAGCTTTTTAGAAAAAAGGGTTGCAAATTGGTGGTGTGTGTATATGAAAAACAACATTATAGTCATATTTTAGGTACCTGGATATTTTTCTCCTACTGACTGGTTGTATGATGTTGCATAGGTAATTTCACTTCTTGGACTTTAAACATTTCTGACAAAATCATATTTGAAATGTTAGTCAAACATTGACTATGATTTTTGAAATCATAATAAGTTTGAATATTAACATTTTCAAAATACTCAAACAGTTTTATGTACTTTAGATGCTCTGATTTGGTTTGTTTCTCCCCTACACCTGGTAAACAGCTGTCATCCCTCTCTTTAGTAGTATTCTATGGCTCACGTGTTTCCTGAATTCCTGTCGTGATTTACTCCCTTATTTTACTGAAGCACATTTTCTTTTTTTTTTTTTTTTTTTTTGGGATGGAGTTTCGTTCTTGTTACCCAGGCTGGAGTGCAATGGCGCGATCTCGGCTCACCGCAACCTCCGCCTCCTGGGTTCAGGCAATTCTCCTGCCTCAGCCTCCTGAGTAGCTGGGATTACAGGCACACGCCACCATGCCCAGCTAATTTTTTGTATTTTTAGTAGAGACGAGGTTTCACCATGTTGACCAGGATGGTCTCGATCTTTTGACCTCGTGATCCACCCGCCTCGGCCTCCCAAAGTGCTGAGATTACAGGCTTGAGCCACCGCGCCCGGCCTTGAAGCACATTTTCTATTAGGTTCCAAAATAAAACACCATGAGGATATAATTTTTGAGTCTTTGAATGCTTTCCAATATCTATATTTTACCTTATCTTCTTTGATTATTTGGCCAGGTATTAAATGTTAAATTTCTAATATATTTCTTATCATGCAATAGTTGCCTTATAAATGGAAGATAGTATTATTGTTGCAACAGATTGGAGCAGGGTTTGTCCTCTTATATCCAGCCAGCTATAATTTCTATTTCACCTATAAATTATTTTATTTATACAATATTCTCAACTGGGGCCAGTTTGACTAAAAACTGGAGGAAGAAGCTACTCATGTCAACAAAGGGCTGAAGTAATTATTTTTCACAATATTAATATCCAGTTAGTTTCTTATAACAAAATTATGCTTATACATTATTCATTAGTTTAATCATTTCGAGGTAACATAACTTTAAGTTAAATAATGAAAGACTGTTTTGATTTAAAGTTTACTTGTGTTGTTTCACAATGATTTCAGGGCCACATATGAAGTAATATGTGGCTTTAGGGATAAAGGTTGACTACCTATATGTTTCTACTTGAAGAGCACAGTGGTTAAAATGATGGGCTTTGGAACTATAGGGTCTGTACTTAAATTCTGTCCTTGCCACTCACTACCAATGTATTATTTAGTAAATAACTTAACCTTGCTAACCTCAGTGTTTTCATCTGAAAAACGGGGAGGATAATGCCTTTCTTGGGATTATTACAGTATAAGGACATTTGCAGTTTGAAAAGGTATAATTGTTGAGAACAGTGCCTAGCACTTAGTAAGTGCCCTGTGACTGTTATCTATTATAATAAACTCTGGTTTTTAAAGCTATACAAATAGTTCCATGTAAAATTATAGAATCAGATCTTCATATTTTATGCAACCTGAGGCTACTAAGTGATAACTAATAACATATACTCTATTTCTACTGTTGAAACATTTGCTTTTGCTCTCTTTTTTGCAGCTACACAGATACTCTTAGCTACTGCCCAAATTCTCCAGAATGATCTAATTGATGTCTCTGACCTCAAGACGTTATTAATGGACAACGACCTTCATACAGCTAATGCTGTACTTACTGTAATGTTAAGACATGTGCCTGAACATGGTTAGTAGTTTCAATGCATCTATCTTATAAAAACCATCCTCTACCAGGGGAAGGTCTATGGGTAGGACATGCAGGGCTAGAGGGTTACCTGTGGAAGCTGCAGTGGGATGTCTGCGAGACACTGGGGCTGCCCCTACAGGTGTGCCAACCCTGAGCTTCATGGGGGCCAAACAAATGGGGAAGTCAGAGCTCATCTTATCCCTGTGTGAGTCTAATGATGGTACTTAGGAGGTGAGATTATTTTGTGAAGTGACTGGCACAGGCAGTGGTCAATCAGAATGCCTTCTATGTAGTAAAACAGGATCCTGGAGGCCTTTTTGGCTTTTGGAAGCTAAATTATGGTGATATTCAGGGTTACTGGTGGGTGTTGCACATGGTGGCTCAGGAAAGCAGATATTTATAAATATAAAAAATAATTTTAGTATTTTAATGACTGTTACAGCTGAATATTATCCATGATACATTCTTACAATGAGTTGGGGTGTATTCTTTTTTCCTATTTTTTTAGAAGAGACTATTTTCTTCCTTGAATGTTTAGTAGAATTCATAGGTGAAGCCATGTGGGTCAAGAGTGTTTTTTGTGAAAGGCTTTGAATTATTGATTTAATGTCTTTAGGATTAAAGATATTAGGATTATTGGTCTGTTCAGGGTATTTAATTCTTCCTGATTTAAGCTAGGAGGGTTGTATTTTTTCAGGAACTTATCAATCTTTTCTAGGTTTTCTGATTTCCATGTGCAAGGGTGTTCATAGTAGCATTGAATGATCTTTTGTATTTCAGTGCTGTCAGTTGTAATATCTCCTGTTTCATTTCTTAGTGAGGTTATTTGGACTTTCTTCTTTTTTTGGTTGATCTTGCTAGTGGTCTCTCAATTTTATTTATCTTTTCAAAGAAGCAGCTTTTTGTTTCATTTATCTTTTGTATTTTTTTTGTTTTGTTTTGTTTCAATTTCATTTAGTTCTGGTCTGATCTTGGTTATTTCCTTCTGCTGGGTTTAGGTTTGGTTTGTTCTTGTTTCTCTAGTTCCTTGAGGTGTGACCTCAGAGGTCAATTTGTGCTCTTTCAGTCTTTTTGATGTAGGCATTTAAGGCTATGACCTTTCCTCTTAGTACTGCCTTTGCTGTATCCCAGATATTTTGATAGGTTGTGTCATTATGGTTGTTCAGTTCGATGATTTTTTAAAGTTCCATCTTGATTTTGTTTTTGACACAATGCTCATTCAGGAGCAGCTTATTTAAATTTTCGTTTATTTGCATGGTTTTGAAGGTCACTTTTGGAGTTGATTTCGTTTTACTCCATTGTGGCCTGAGGAGTGCTTGATATAATTTGAATTTTCTTAAATCTATTGAGGCTCATTTTGTGGCCTATCATATGGCCTGCCTTGGAGAAAGTTCCATGTGCTGTGAATAGAATATGTCTTCGGTTGTTGGATGAAATGTTCTGTATACTTTTGTTAAGTCCATTGTTTCTTTGCTGACTTTCTGTCTTGATGACCTGTCTAGTGCTGTCAGTGTAGTATTGAAGTCCCCCACTATTACTGTGTTGCTCTCTACCTCATTTCTTAGGTCTATTAGTAGTTGTTTTATAAATTTGGGTGCTCCAGTGTTAGGTGCACATATGTTTAGAATTGTGATATTTTCCTGTTGGACAAGGCCTTTTACCATTATATAGTGTCCCTCTTTGTCTCTTTTAACTGCTGTTACTTTAAAGTTTGTTTTGTCTGATGTAAGAATAGTTACCTCTGCTCACTTTTGGTGTCCATTTGCTTGAAACTCCTTTTTTCCACCCCTTTAAATTAAGTTTATGTGAGTCTGTGTGCTGGGTGAGTCCTCTGAAGGCAGTGATTGGTTGGTGAGTTCTTAACCATTCTGTGGTTTACCCGCCTTGGCCTCCCAAAGTGCTGGAATTATAGGCGTGAGCCACTGTGCCTGGCCAGTAATGTTTTTCTGAAAAGCAATATGCCATAGGAATATAACTCTTGTTTATATCAATTAGCCTGTGGTAAAACTGATTTTATTAATGTCCTTTTGCTTAAAGTCAGGATTTTCAAGTACCTGTCAATGATGTTAAGTGAACATCATTGCATTAAGAAAAGGAATGGTGAACACTAAACTTATGATGAAAGTTGGGGAAGGATAATGTGCACTGGTGGCACATTCTCAGCTTACTGCAACCTCTATCTCCCAGGTTCAAGCAATTCTTCTGCCTCAGCCTCCTGAGTAGCTGGGATTACAGGCGCCTGCCACCACACCCAGCCAATTTTCATATTTTTAGTAGAGATGGGCTTTCACCATGTTGGCCAGGCTGGTTTGGAACTCTTGACCTTAAGTGATCTGCCTACTTCAGTCTCCCAAAGTCCTGGGATTACAGGCATGAGCCACCACGGTGTAGGCTGTGAAGCTGACTGTGCTGGTTCTAGATTTTTATTTCCTGACTTACATGCAAACGAAAGTGTTCAATATTCTGCCTCTTAGTTACACTGTAGGCATGGACTCTAAGTTATTTTACTTGCCATATTTGTTAATTTTTATGAATTTTTTGGAGACCATCTGGAGAGATTCAATTTAGGTGTCTACTGTCATACTAAAGCAGTGTTTCTAACCTTTTTTCCCCTCACTCCTCTAAGGAGGCTTTATAGACATTTTACTTCCTAATTATCCCCCACACCCTGTGAAAATTTAATACCAAAGATACACCATATATCTGTTTAAGTACTATAGCCACAAAATATTGTAGTATCTGTGATTTTTTTCCTCCTAAGAACCAGTTTTATCCCTTAAGAGCAGTATCACCCTCAATAAGAATGCATGTTCTGAAAGTATCTTGAATATTTTTTTCATTGTACTGCTGAATCCTATTTAGTAGTATTTTACTTATACTTTAACACATGTATGAGTAATATGGGTCTATAATTTCCCTCCCTCACCTCCTCAATGTTATATTTATTCTGTAGTTTTGTAGGCAATTAGGAGCTACTGAAGGGTTTTATTATAGGAATAATCAATTTTTTTTTTTAAGAGGAATACCTCCCTTGCCATACTGTGAAAAATAAATGGAGGATGAGACTGGTGGCAAAGGTTTTTAAAGATGCTATTGCAATAACATAGGTATTAGTTAATGCAGCAGTAAATTCAAGAAGTATTTGGAAATAGAATGAGCAGAAATTTGATAGTCATATGCATGCAAGACGTAAGGGAGAAGAAATAGCCTAGCCTTACTCCCAAGCTTCTAACCTTTGTTATAATTTGACTATTAGCTTTAGTTATATTAATTAATTCTGAAGCAGTAATTCTTTCATTTAATTAAATTATGATTTGCATTACAGAAAGTGGCAAGGTTACCATTCAAGAATTTATGACTAAATTCTCTGATATATTGACAATTCCTGAAGCTGCAGGTAAGTTTTATTTAATATGTACTTGCTGCCCAGATCTAGAAAGGCAAGCAGTGGTTTATAGGTTAAAAACAATACAGGTTTCAATAGTTAAAGCACAGGTAAGTAAGAAGTGATATAATATGAATATAAAACAACACAAGATTAGATTACATAACTTCTGTTTGAATTCTAAGGCAAATATTGCTCAGCTTAACCCAAACTCAAAATTTTTAGTAGTCTTACTTAGTAGTACTAGAAAATTACTAGATTGTATATTATTCTTTGAGGTTATTCAGTGTGCATATTTGACTTTTGAATTTATTAGAAAATAATTTTTAAAACTTTTGACAAATCCAGTGAAATTGACTTTATCACTATCTGTTATGTTCTCATGTATGTTCAGCAACTCTCTTGATCACATTTTTTAAACATTTATGCTTTTTGAGGTATAACATATATAGCAAAATTTACTCTTTTTAGGAATACAGTTCTTTGGATTCTTAAAAATAATGTCATGTAACCTTTCCTATACACAGCATATAGACTATATCACCCCACAGAAGTCTCTTGTGCCCTTTTGGTAATCCATTTCTTCCTCTACCCTCAACCCTGGCAACTACTGATTCATTCTTTGTCCCTGTAGTTTTGCCTTTTGTGGAATATCTTGTAAATGTAATGATTAAATATGAAGTGGTTTGAGTCTGGCTTCCTTAGAATAATATTTTTATATTCATCCATTTTTTGCACATTGTTTGGTTCCTTCTATATATGAGTAGAATTCCATTTTATGAAAGTACCACAATTTGTTTATCCATTTGCCATTGATAGACCATTGAGTTATTCTCAGTTTTTGGTGATTATGAATGAAGCTGCTATAAATAATTATGTACAGGTTTTTCTGTGGATGTATGTTTTCATTTCTCTTAGTTAAATACCTAGAACTAGGATTGCTGAGATATATGGCGAGTGTATGTTTAAATTGATCAAAAACTGCCAAACTGTTTTGCAGTGTCTTTCCAAAGTGCTTTCCCAACAGCAATGTATAGCAGTTCTAGTTGTGCTGCATCCTAGCCAACACTTGATAAAAATATCAGGAATTTTTAAAAAATTAGCCTTTCTAATAGTGTGTAGTGGTATTTCATTATGGTTTGCATTTTCCTTATGACTAATCATGTGTTTGAAAGTCTTTTATATATGCCTCCTCCCCCCCACACACACATATTTGCTGTCTCTACATCTTTGGTAAAGTATCCAACTTTTTGCCCATTAGAAATAATTAAGGGCTGGGCATGGTGGCTCACACCTGTAATCCTAGCACTTTGGGAGGCCGAGGTGGGCAGATGACCTGAGGTCAGGAATTCAAGACAAGCCTGGCCAACAAGGCAAAACCCTGTCTCTACTAAAAATACAAAAATTAGTCAGGTGTGGTGATGTGTACCTGGGACTGCCTGTGCAGTGCCAGATACTCGGGAGGCTGAGGCAAGGGAATCGCTTGAACCCAGGAGGTGGAGTTGCAGTGAGCTGAGTTTGTGCCACTGCACTCCAGCCTGGGTGACAGAGCAAGACTCTGTCAAAAAA